GGCTACGGGCACGCTGAACAAGACTGTTGGGACGACGACGGGGGGGTTGAACACCGTTACCGATTCTGTGACTACGGGTGTGAATAACACGGTTGGTGGCGTGACGGGGTATGCGGGCAAAGGACTGGATAAGTTGCCGGGTGGTGTGGGCAAGCCGGTCAAGCATGTAACTGATAATGTGGGTAAGACGGCGACGGGCGCGGTGGATAACGCGTATTACACTGTTGGATCTGCGACCAAGGGGCTGCAGGGCACGGTTAGTAAGACGACGGGGGCGATTGGTAGGGGTGATGCGAAGGGGACTGTTGCTGGGGCGAGCAGTGGTGTTGGTATGTTATCCCTTTCCTACCTCATACTACAGCATCGCAACGTCGATATGCGCTTGTCGTATATGTCTGAACGCCCTACTAACACCTCCATAGGCAACACAGTAACAGGCGTAGGCAAAGGCGTCGGCAACACCGTCGGCGACGGGCTCGCTGGCCTGGGCAACACTGTCGGCGGCCCCGTCGGCGGCGTCGTCGGCAACGTAGGCAAAGGTGCTAACAACGCTGTTGGCGGCATTACCAGCGGCGTCGGCGACGGCGTTAGCAAGCTGGGCAAGGGCGATGTGATTGGTGGTGTGGGCAGTACGCTGGGTGGTGTGGGAAAGGGTGTGGGCGGCCTGTTGGGCGGTATCACGGGGTATGGCGAGGATAAGGAGAAATGAAGGTGCAAGGTTGAGAGGTGGTTGGAGAGGGTTGAGGAGGGTGATGAGGAGGACGAGGGTGTGGAGGAGTTGGAGGAGGGGCAGGAACGGAAAACTAAAGAAGAAGACGCAAGAGAGGGCGATGGTGTGCGGGAAGAAGGAGAAGCGAATGCAAAGGCTGATGTTGTCGAAGAGGAGGGGTTGAAAGCAGATTCCGTACATGGCGGAGGGGGATAGTAAGGAAACCTGATATTATCGCATGTACGTTTATGTAAATTGTCATCATCATTCCTGTTAGCTTACCGATATCTCCTCTACGTCTTCCCAAAGCTTTTCTGATGCTCGACACGAACAGAGAGAGCGGGAAGGTATGCGGCCGCATTTCCCCCTATCTCACAATAGGAACCCAACGGCCACATTCCAAACCCACCGGCAGAAACGGCGTCGTGTTGCACAGCCTAACTAACGCTCACCCGCCCTCGTCGCTTGGAAACAAGCCACAACTGGCACGAAACCTCGCGCTGATCACTTTGGAGAAATAACGCCGAATCCGCTCCTTCTGCGGTGCATATATTATACGCGGTGTACGGTTTTGCGAGACTAGGGTTTGGGGCCTGAGTTCGTGGGGTTGGCCTTGTTTTGAAGGGTTTCGTTGGAGGAGGTGTAGTTGGGTCTTGGGAATGAGGTGATGGGATGAGATGTTGGGGAAAGGGTGGTAGTGATGATGCTGCTGGTGGTGTGGGAGAAGGGGAAGGGAGAAGAGGGGGAGCTACCCGTAGACGTATAGACTAGTGGAATGCTTTGTGAGGTATTTTGCGGTAGACTTGCGAGTCTTATCCACGTTGCCATGTTCAAGTCGTATGCACCGTATGTGAAAAAGGTCGTTGGTACCTACTTAATCATCCACGCTATCTCACCCCCAAACCCAACGAATTACCAAGCTCCCCATCTGGTTACCCAACGGCCCTTTCCAGCACGCCTAACACACCGGCTTTGGTCAAGAAATTGAACCACAAACCTGCGCCTCTTTTTTGCGTCGTCACCTCAGCCACTAACCCAGCACCACGTCGGCGCTTGCCCCGCTAGCCATCTCGTGTTCCCAAACGCACTCACCCAGAATTGTAATTATTCGCGAACTGGACTTTCGGAGTCTACGCCGGTCCGCGGTGTTATCGACGCAGGTCTAAATGGTCCGATATACGCTGCGGGGGCTGTGATAGGTAGGGGTAGGGTCGGTTTCGAAACTGAATTAGGCTTTCGGGAGGCACGTTGCGTCCGGACAGGGAAGGGGGTGAGGGATTTTGAAGGGCTGCATGGTCTGAGAGCCGGGGATAATCGTGGCTTGCGCGTCAGGGTTTGTGGAGGGATAAGCTTTTTGAGAAGGCTTGGTATCGTTTTGACAGGTGTCTTGGAAAGCTTGGTATCATGGCTGGTGACGATCGGGGAGTCGTTTGCTCCTATCAGCTTGGAGATGGGACTTTTTGATCAGGCGATTTGCTGCTTAGCTTGTATACATGGGCATACCTGCACCACTTTGCTTTCGTGGCATCGGTTGCACGCAGCAAACAATTACCCTCGAGGCAGACATCAGGCAACATCTCACGACACGGCACACTCAGCCAGCTAATCCCGGCTTTGACACTGTAGCACGATGCCCATGACCCCCCAAACCACTCTCGTAACCTTCCAGATTTGTTTCGCACATCATCAGCCCTTTCTGACGCCAGCGCGTCGATTCAAGCCACAAGCACAGACGCAGAGAGCGCACGCACTAACCCCATCGCAGCCGTAAACCGGTCGATCAGGGACCAATCCGCCCTACATCCCTCGCAACGTGCACAGAAACGTGTGGCTGAGCTAGGCAATTATCACCGGCACTATCCTCCTCTCACGAAACGTGTGGAACAATAGCGCGTGCGACGACACCGTACCGGTGTTCCTTCTGTCGACGGTGCTTGAAGCTGGAAATGTGACTATCGGAACTATTGGCTCGCCGGAGCCGGCGTATAGGATGACCACCGTTTCCGGGCGGCCGCTCATGCAGCGTGGAAATCTGTCGTGTGAGACTTGATTATGTGCCTGGGAAAGTCAGGATCGCTGCAAGGGTCCCGAGCTCGTGTGTGTTGGAATTCACTCACATCTGGGCCCCCCAAGTCAAGTTACCGAGGTTTAGCGCCACGCGAGGGTGAATGCAAGCTTGCGCATACATGCCCTGGTTCCAACGCTCATACCCACGCTTGTTTCGAACGGGTTCATAAGCCACTTCTGTCGCCCCCTCGACTGCACATGTGGCTCATCACGACGATTATTACTTCGAGGTACGCAGATATTATTCATTGGTGAGTTGATGATTGAGGGTGGTGTCTGTTCGCTTAATCAAGAGGAGCAGATATACGAGAGTGAGGGCTGCGCTAACGAGGGTCTAGATTGCTGCGCATAGCTCTTGGACCATATTACCTCCATCCCAAAGCAGCAGGTTGACTCTATATCGTGAGGTTTCTCCGCTCCGCCGCTGCGAATCCAGAGTCGTTGGGGTTCCTCGTTTCGCTCAATCTCAACGCCTGCGATTTCAACCGGAACGACGATTCAACCTACCAAACACACACCTACAACAATCATGTCGTCCAACCAACGAATCCCCCTCCTCCTCACCATCATGGCCTTCACCAGCGCATCTCTTGCCGCCCCCACACAGCCTCACCCCACACCCCAACTAGAAGACCTCCAATGCCGCTGCCTCACCTTCTCCACCAGCCGCACCCCAACCCCATGTTCCTACCAAGAGCTCCTAACCCTAGACTGGGAAGCCGCCTTCTCCCTCTCCATCACCAACGCACTCCCCATCCAATTCGCCAGCCAAACCACCATGGACACGCTTCTCGCCATCCCCAAGCCCCTCCCGCTCAATCTGCTGCAGAGTATGCATGAGGGAGGGGAGGTTAGTCCCCTGGATCCGAGCAGCGGGGTGACGAGTGAGAATAGGGTTGTTTGTGGGTTTGGACAAGAGGTTGATGGGGTGAGTGGGAGGGGGAGGGGAGGCGTCGAGCAGGAGGTGCATTATGTGGGGACGGTGCTGGGGCTGTTTATGTTGGCTACGATGGTTTGGGTTGCGGGGGAGTGGGTGTGGATGAGGTGGGTTGCCGACAGCTTCCGAAAAAGAGACTTACATACTAATATCTGGCACAGGTTCTTCTCGAGGACTGGAGCTATCATGCTGGAGGGCGATGAGAAGGCTCTAAGAGCCGAATTCGACGCTCTGACTGCTGAGGTCGAGGCCCTAACCGCTGAAGTCAAGGCTGAGACGAGGAGTATGCCGACTGACTACTCTTGAACAAAGTCGACGAGATCGACTATCTGGTCTAACTACAAGACCACGTCAACATGTTCATTACGGGATTCCCATCGAAGCGGCGGCCTCACGGCATTCACACCCCCCTCCCTACCGGAAGCAGGGCCACGACAGAGAAACGCTCGGACGACCTACTTCCTACCTACCCACCCACTACTAGTCATGATACCCAATTATTGCTATATCGAGGAAAACGAACCAGTTCACACCACCTTCATTGGACACCGCGCGCTTTGTCTTCTCAGACAAATACATGGTACGCATGTCTCTTGCACGACAACCCGGGAAGCTGCACAAACAACTGCTTCTACACATACACTTTTGCACTCTATCTAGTGCATAACCCCTCGCCTAGTGTTCTGGGAATAGGTTGCTATGAGGGGGCCAGCATTGTCAGACATTGGACATGCAGAATGAGAGTCAGCGCCGTGACTACGGCCAGGGGCAGGAAGGCGTGAGGGTGGTCTGGGATTTGCTTTGGAAGTTAGACGAGTCTACGAGATTTTGTGGCAGTAGCGAAATGTTCACATATGTCCATCTTCCTCTCTCTCATGTGTTTGCACTCACTCCAACCATCACATGGCTAGTCTGCTATGTTGGGAATACAGCAATGCCACAAACCATGCATGTCACGTCGCAGAGTGGCATAAAGGAAACACACCGATGCATGTAGGTGTAGGTTTCATGGGTTTAGAGATTGTTCAATTAGACCAAAGACCATTCTATACTTGACTCTACATAGTATCCTAATCGGTCTGATTTTTAATCTCACTTCGCTCCTCTAGAACACCCATATCTGCTAGACAAAACCAAAACTCAAAGAACATGCGCGCAAAATGGGGTATAAACGCTTCCAAAAGCTTTCTCCCGCCTATACTCCAGAAGATGTTTGAAAGGACGGACGAAGAAGTCGACCGGGTTGGTATACATGTAAGTATGCGAGCGAGTCTAAGAGACTCAAGCTCAATGCGCGGATTCCGGGTACGAAAGTTGGATTTTGGGTTCGTAAAGCCTGCCAGATGTGTTAGCACTCCAAATATTCACTTTTTACTCGAGTCCGAAAGCAACTTACATGAACGTCTCATACCTTACCCCCCTCCTCCTCACCCTATTCCTCTCTTTCGCGATCCCATCCTCCCCACTCCCAGCAAACAGCACCGGTTCCCAATCGACAACATCCCTCCACCTCTTCATGAGCTTCCGCCAATAACACGCTTCCGCCGCTTGCGTCAGATATCTTTCCCTGAATACCTGCACCGAGTTATCCGCTATGCGCTTTGCCTTTTCAGGGTGGTCGAGCAGGTCCTCCATAGCAGATGCTAGATCCGAGAAGTCGCGTTCGACTTCGACGAAGTTTTGGTTGGAGCCGTTGGAGCGGAAGAGGTAGTGGTGGTGTTGTATCCATTGGAGTTTGTGTGAGACGATTACTGAGCGGCAGAGTTGGCGGTATTTGAGGGAGCCGGAGTAGGAACGACCTGGAGGGTGGTTGTTAGTATGTAGAACTCTGCTAGTGGTTGGGGGTATAATACCTTCAGCGTGAGCAATGAACATGTAGTTACACTGGTCCACCGGCCCGAGAAACTGCTCTTTGAAATTTGGATCCGTCCACTTGAGTTGGCCAACGTCGCTCCATGGCTTGCCTTTTGCTGCATCGAGGAGCGCTCTCCGCAGCTTAGGCGCGAAAGTGATTTTGCCTCTCCAGACTAGCTTCTCGATCTTTTGGTCCCACGACTCGACGGCTTCCCTTTGAACCGCCTCTTGAGCAACTTCGTCCAGTGTGCCCAGCGCGGGCATGTCCCAGCTCCAGAAGCCAAAGTCGGGTATTAACCAGAGGTTGTGGTCTTGGACGCGGCGGGTGAGGGACCATATCGGTTTGTGGGGTTGCGCAGGGAGGTCCTCTACGGAGAAGACGAATTCGATGTTTGGGATATCGGCGGTTGAGGGGGCGGCGAGAACGGCTCGGTATATAGCGCTGAGAGTCGCAATGGCTTTTTGCCGGTTGACGTTATCGACCATGTGAGTCTCGAGGATGTAGAGCTGTTGTACGTTAGCATGCGCTCAGCACTTCCTTTCTGGCCAGAATTAGACGAACCTCTCTATCATAAACCATAGCCCTCACCATCCCCTTTGTAAGCTCGAAGCTATTGAGATCCGCCTGCGTCACCTTACCCCAGCGACTCCGCACCTTAACCGCACGCTCAATATCCTCATATTGCCCCGGAAAAGCGCTATCGCACTGCGCTTCATCAAGCCCATAATTGTTCTTATCCCTTGGATACGTAAAAGTCCACAGTCCATGTTCCTCCAACTCGGTCGCATTAGTCGTGAGAATAGCCTGATTTGCAGCGCAATCGAGACAAGTGTCGCAGGAGAAAGTCGTACTGAACTCGCACAAACAGCGGCCTGCGGGCATGTACTCTTTGACCAGCGGGGGCAAGGACGGGTTCTGTGTGCGCGTGCCATAGAGAATGGTGCAGATGATGAGGAAGAGCAGGGCGCAAGCCGAGACGAAGAAGAAGGAAAGAACTTCTCCGCCGGTCGGACAGCGGCGACGGTATACAGTCTTGTCCTTCCGCTCCTCCACTATCCACATCTTCTTCATGAGCATGGGTGCTGGTGGGATCCGGGCGACGTGAACCGGAGCGACGATGGGGGGTGCGGGTAGCGTGGACACGCGAGCGAAGTCGGTCGCGCGTGTCTATATTATCGAAATTGGGGAGCTTCGGAGCGTGGCTGGAGGCGACATGGATGGCGACACTACCAATATGAATATGTACAAGTGAAAGGGAAGCGAAGCGCTATGACGGCGTCGACGAGGAACGAGGGTCGGCACGCGACTGGCAGAGGTGAAGGATTCCAAAGACGGTTGTGGAAAAGAAGAGGGGCGGCGATGGGGACAGCCGGTGGGAGGAATGACGATAGACGCTTCACGGTGGAGTTGGCATGGTGATGGACAAGACGGGTTGCCCCCAATGGGAGATACGGTGAGGGCGTTGCGGAGTGCAGTGCGCGGCGGGATATTTAGATCGGTCAACGCTTAGTACATTCCAGTAGTACGTATGACAGGGGCGAGAAGGTACCGACGCCTCCTCGTCGTTACCTCAACACTATGTCTCCAGATTATTCGCAAGCAGATACTGTAACCTCGAGTGCGAAAACAAGAAGAATATAGACTACATCTGCATACAGTACTGTACAAATAACCTCCACCACACACGCCCCGCCTTCCCCACGCGTTGTCCGTCGCATGTCAAGCATTCGGCTGCACCCGCTGCAGGATGCGAATACGAGCATAGGATCCTCGTCTATCAACTTCAGGCCCCCCGTGCAACTCAGGGTGCAACTATCACAGTATACAGCACAACCGCACTGCATCCGTCGTGAGATGCGACCCTGCGCGCGCTTACCTTGGAACTGTTGAAGCACGCGCGGCCTCTAGCACCTGCCAGCCCAATCCAGTTAGGTGGCGCACGCGACCCACCTGCATTTCCTTGATGTCATTCAAGCCACCTGCTTCAACGTGTCTCAACTATTATTGAGACTATTGACGACGGCAATAGTGTAGGTATCATCATTACATTATACTGCGAGCGCGTGCAGATGCACCTATTTAGCTCTATACAAGTGAACACGGTAGGACGCGTACGTGTTCACATAGCGCACATGCATTGAACGTATACTTGGTTAGTAGCGTCCTGCGGCAGTTGAAATGTAACCGACGTCAAAGCAAGTGTTGATTCATCGGGGATTAAATTCTTCTGCGTTTGTGGGTCGTGGGTCAGTTCCATGGTTGTCACACTCGTGGGTAGTGGGTCACCCGTTGCACGTCTGCATCTGCGCAAGTGCCGATGTGGAGTACCCTTACATCATCGTACCATGTTGTGTGTGATGGGTGGAGCACACGAGAGTCATGACAGATGTGAGGACGTTGGCTTTTATGATTTTGATGGACATGCAGTCGAACGTGGCAGATAAAGATTTCAACACATCAACGGAACAGTAGTCAATCACAGGATCCTCGAATCCCATACAATGCATTCACAAACTCCCCAAAACCGGCGCTCAACCCGCTGTACCCTACGAGGAGGCCATCAATGCTACGCAAAACACCTAGATGCAATAGTCAAGACCAACAAAAGAGACACTAAAACCATGTAACGTGAAGCAGCCACACTGAAGGCAATTGGCAAAAAAATATAGATAAAAAGGCTATGTACATGAGAAGCCTGAACTAGTGAAAGAAGCTCGAAAAAGAAGGTAAGTAGGCAAAGAAGAGGAAAAGAACAAGGGAGCCTAAGAAGTTTGAAATCGCTGGATGCTTCCATAGCGAACCCTACGAGAAAGTGGGATCAGCGACCAACAAGCCCTACAACAGACTGCAGGGAACATGTAAAAATGCCGAAAGTATACGGCGGCGCTGATCCTCACCTGTACAACACGTCTGTCGTCTACGCCGACAACACGTGCATGTCCTCCTCATCCGCATCTTTGCGGATACCAAACGGTTGAAAGGCATTTGTCTTGCCTTTGTGAGCGTGTACTGCGAGGCCCATCTCGCGCATGCGTTCTGCGCCGCGACCAGGAGCGGGACGCTTTTCTTTGGCACCTTTGCGGTGTTGCTTGCGGTACAGCTTCTCCTTGCGACGTTGCCTCTTCTTCTCGAGCCCAACTTTGATGTCGATGGCGCGGCGGATGGGCATGTCGGAGCCGTCGGCATCTTCGTCCTCGTCGAGGTCGAATGGGTTGCGCATAATGATCGGGGTGCGCGGGACGGAGGCTGAGACTGTGGGTGCAGGACGCTCGGCAATGCCGGCGAAACGTATCGAGGTGTCGCTGCGTTGACGTGTGGTCATGGTCACGGGATTGACGGAGCCGCGACGTGTAGGCGGTGGAGATCTAAGGCGCATTGGAGGCGGAGGAGAATGGTGGCGCTTGGGGGAATTTCCAAACAGCTTGCGAGGTGGCGGAGAACGATGCACAGCACGCTTTGCTGGTGGAGGTGATCGCAAGCGCTTCGGTGATGGCAGAGGAGATCGCTTCTTTGAAACCTCTTTGCGGCGACCTCGTCCATCGATGTTGACAGGATCCATGCGGCCATGAATCATGAGATGATCAGTCTCGGAAGCTTTCTCATCTTCAGAGACCTCATCCTCATCATCGTCAGGAAGCTCCGGATCCGATGTCGGGAACGTAGGGTCGATGTCCTGTGGAGTAGGCTTGTGCTTGGCCGCACGTCGACGTTCGAGTGTCGACATGTACGCAGCTTCAGCTGGCCTGTCCTCATCAAGCGTACCGCAAACAAAGTCTGTACTGTCGGGCAGCTCAGGGGTGGGAACGCGGATGTTGACCGGCTTCGATGACTTTCTGCGCTTGGAAGGCTTGTCCATAATCTTGAGACCCTCGCGGCTCTCCAAAGACCCAATCGATGATTCAGAGACGGTTCGGTGAGTCTTCAGTCGAAGCTGTTCCAGATGCTCTACAGATGTCGCTGCAGTTGATGCTCCAGGCGCCCACCAGTCGTAGTCAGACCCAGCATCGCTGTCATCATCTGAGACGGCAAATCCGTTTTCATCGTCAGTCTGGAAACCCTCATCAGTCGCATCGCTATACGCGGCGTCTTCATCCTCGTCTAGCAGATCGTCATCGTCGTCATCCATTTCGACGTTGTCCTCATCGTCGTCCTCGTCCTCTTCATCGATGGCTTCCTCTTCTGCAACCTCCTCGCCCAGCTTACGCAGGTTGTTCTCAATTTTGAGCGTATCCTGGACCGTAAGCCGGCTTCGATGGCAAGTGACCTCTTGCGTCCACTCTTCGACCTCCTCTTCTGAGCTAGCAAACTCATGGAAGCGGTATGCTTCACAGCGGGCGAGGTCGGAGTTGGAACTCAAGCGCCGCGTGTGGTCAACCGGGCGGACTTTACGCACGCTCACGGGGGAGTTGTTGCGGACTGTAGAATCGGAGTCGCGGTGGACTTTGGTGGTTGGCTTGGGAGACGAGGGTATCCGGCGTGGTGGCGGTGCGGGGCTGGCCATGCGGCGGGGTTTCGGCGCTGCTTCTGTAGATGGCTTGGACGGGCACGCGAACTTGATGGTGCAGACGCGCTTGGGGGGTTCTTCGACCTGGAGAGCAGGCGCGGGCTTCGCAGGTGCCTCTGCTGGCTTCTTGTCCTCCTTAGGCCCGCACGCAAACATGATGCGCCTCTTCCTTCCCAGAACAGCTTCGATGCTCTGCTCAGTGCTCTGAGCAGGCGCGGTCTTGGGTACTGGGGTGATGTTCTCGTCGTCGTGTGAGACGACGGAGATGGGTAGCTCCAACGGCTTGTTGTTGAACGTGGGCAGCATGCTGTGGAACGCTGCCGAAGGAAGTGGCGGGCTCGGCGTGCAGGGCCGTGTGCCAGGGCTCGTGAAGCCTCCATCGCTAGTGAGATCTGCGGTGCCGCTGTTGTTACTCCATGTCGAGACGCACGACATGCCGCGGACGGGGCTCGCATCCGAGTGTTCCTCAACAGGCGAGCTCGCGTTCGAGCCCGACTTGAGCGCCGAGGTAAGGAGCGATGCTTTGCGATCGATGACGGGTTTCGATTTGGTGAAGGATGTGGAGGAGGAATGCTGGAGCACCAGGGGCGCAGGGCGTTGCGCGCGAGGTTCAGGGGGTTCGTCTAGGTCGCCAACCGCCTCCTCCTCTGCTGTCATATCTGGCGGACATGTATTCGACATGTTCTGCTGTGTGTTTACTTGCAACGCGCCCTGTCTAGCAAAGTAATCCTGCTCGTTCGCCATGTGTTCTGTAGTCGGTGGTGTATCGATCGAAGAACGTGCGTGGGGTCGGTGCAAGGTCGTGTATCAGATTCAATTGCTGAGTGCGAATAATATTTCGAAGTGATGCCGTAATAGTGAAGTTGTGTGGTCGTGATGCAAGCGGGTGAGGCGTTTCACGGTTTCTTTTTGGCGCAGTGCACCTGGCGCAGCGTTCCTGGACCCTCGTTAGAGCAGGAGGCGTGCTATGTCGATCGTGTCGAGTGCAATGCAATTAGAGGCGGTTCGGCGGATTACTGCTGGGCGGTATGGATGGGTGTGTGGGAGAGTGGGGCCCCAGTGAGGCGAAGTGTTATAATATGGACAGAAACATGGTGGAGCTGTGTGTGAGGAGCCTTGGGTGGAACTAGAAGCGGGCTCGAAGACGTGTCAGAAGCGACAAGCGTCGGGCAGTGTCGAGTGGGAAGGGGTACCTGGAGAGGATGAGGTCGAGTTCCCACAGCGACAGCGACGTGTGGCGACGGGCCGCAGGCTAGCAGAGGGCCCGTTGACAAGTGCGTGAGTGAGCGGTGCTAGGGACGGCGCAGATCGAGGGCCAAGCTGTGCTGTCAGGCGACTTCAGACTGCAACAGTAGTGGCGCAACGCAGGTGGGACTGGTCGTAGGAGAGAGGGAGCGAGGAATTTGATATGCGCTCTGGCGGCTCGGCACCAGATGGTCTGCAAAGCACAAACAGTGGGTAGCCGGCATTTTAATTCGCGCCCACGCCCGCGCAGCCAATGCCACGCTGGGCCTTTGCCAATTGTGCACTGGTCTAGCAATGCACCTGCTCACGCTGCCACACCTGCACTTCC